AGATAAAAATAACTAGATGGCGAACTCACTGACTGTGATTAAGCTTTGTAATGTATAATATTACCGAAAGAGGACTCTTATATACTGGAATTGAGTTTTCGGCATAGATTTCGAAAATAAAGCCCGCCAAATACAAGCATGACGGTTTCATTCATAAACTGGTATAAAGTATACTCAATGAAAAATGCTTAAAAAATCTATTTTCAATGCTATCTTTTTCAGTATAGCATTTTGAATGCAGGGTTGATTAATTATAATAATTAGATCTTTATCGAAAGTTAAATACCTATTTGTAAAAATATTTCTTTCACCTGTTTGGGTAGATTGCCCGAACATTGATAAAAATAATACGTTCTGTAGTTGCGAAAAAGTAACAAGTGCTTGGAAAATTCATCAATCCTTTAAGGTCCTGGATAGCTCAGTAGTTAGGGCAGTCACCGCAATTGCGAGGGATGTGGGTTCGGATCCCATCTCAGAGTGCCAGGGACACAAAGTGGGTTTTTGAGAATTTTTCATTCAGAGCATTTTTCGGTATAACATTGTGAATGCAGGGTTGATCAAATATAGAATAATATAATAATTTGTATAATTCAAAAACTGCACAGAAGTTTTTGTGTCTATCGCGGATTTCAATTATTTTTCTAAGGCCCGTGTCATTTGTATTCTCATTTGTTATTATTTTTTTCTTTTATTATCAAGTAAACAAACATATACATAACAAACAATTTAAGATAACATCTAAAAACCACTGAGGTTTGAGTTGTGTTATCAGAGTTTACAACTTGTTTTTATTTTCGTAATTATAAAATCAGCTGCAACATATTATTACAAATACGGACATTACAATCAATAGACGGTTACAATAATAGCCTTAAATGATTTACAATGTATTAAAAAAGTACCTCTTTAACTTGTATTTTTTTTGGATATGCTGTCTTTTAATTCTGACAGTAAGTCATTAATAAGTCGAGGCATAAGGTAGGTAGTTGTTCGCTCACCGTAGGCATTGTTTGCTCGCGGCTCGCAGAGTTGTTTATTAGCAATCGCCCGAGTATATACAGGATGTGCAACTGGGACCCTCAAATCATCATTAAAGAATTGTTCTTTGAGTAAAGTGTATTGTATCTGAATATGTATGACAGTGTTTAAAGATACCATTTGCATTATTCTCATAAGTCTTTTTAATCTTCTTAGAAAGTATAGTTTTAAGTAATTTTAGTTTAAGATTATTAATATGATTAAGGTAAGATTTGTACGTCCGCCCATAACTGCTGAGACCATACTGAATGTATGACTCTGCAAGTGAATTATATAAAATTAATTTGACTTTAAATGGAATACGATCTTTAAGAATAATAATGTTTGCTAAAAACTGTCTTAATTTAGTGCATACATGTTCAACATGATGACTCCAATTAAATTTACTGTCTATTATTAATCCTAGATATTTTTGTTTATCGACTGTATCCACTGATGGACAATGGCATACATTACTATTGTGTAAGCAGTTGTGGTTGTGGATTACAAGTTTTTTAATTGGTACTTCTATGACATAAGGCAACTTCATTACTAACAGTTTAGTCTTGCTAGCATTAATGACCAGTCCTGCATCATGGCACCATTTTGTTAGCGCATTCAAATCAGACTGTAGAAGATCACAGATCGTTTGTGGATGTTCACCGCCGATTACAAGGCAGTTATCATCTGCAAACTGATAACACGAACTGTTCACAATACAGCTCACTCATATCATTAACATGTTAGAAAGTGCAAGGGTCCGAGTACCGAACCCTGCGCTGTGCCCTCCGTCACAGGTATGATATTACTAAAGTTATTATCTATTTTGACCGAAAAAGAGCTGTTTTTTAAATAATTTTCGCACCAATTTAGTAGAGGCCCACGTACTCCACAATAATCAAGCTTGTTTATCAGTTGATCATGTATCAAGGTGTTCAAGGCACACGAAAAATCTATAAATAAGGCCAGAACGTGTTTTTTTTATTAAGATGGTAATTTACTTCATCTGTGAATTTAGATAAAAGACCTGCTGTGCTCTTACCTGATTGGAAACCAAACTGATTCTGGTAAATTACATTATGTTTTTTATAAAATCTGTGTATTTGTTCGCTAATACATTTTTCTACAATTTTGTCAATTGAGGAAAGCAAGGTTATTGAGCGATGATTAGCATAATCGTCCCGTTTTCCTTTTTTATAGACAGGTCTTACACATCCAACTTTCAGTGCATCGGGATATATCCCAGTTCTAATACTACTATTAATTAAGTTGGCAATTGTTGGAGATATGTACTGCCCTATTAGTTTAATATCTGAAATCGTGATATTGTCGAGCCCCGGTGCTTTATTAGGTTTTAAGCTTTTAATTATTTTATATATGCTATTAGCACTCGTCTTCTGAAATAAAATACTCGAATCGACAGATTTAAAGTTACTATTTACATTTATTAATTTTACTTTACAGTTAGGGATTATATTTTTCACTCCTTTACTTAAAGTATCCGCAAATTTATTAGTTATGGATTTAGGGTTGAGCCCCTGGGCTTAACCTTAATTTTAACCTTTTAAAAAACTTAACCTTTTTTGCTTAACCTTAATATGATCCACAATAATCCACAATTGTATAAATGAGCTCATATTAATTCTATGGCTGTAACCAATAAGCTTGTGAACTCTGGAATTTGAGCGAATGTTTTTTTCAATATTAACTAAAATAGGTACCTACTTGGATTAGTACCTACACTCAGCTTAAGCTAATTATTGAAGTAATAATCATTAATATATCTTCAAAACTACTGAACCGATTTTAATGAAACTTGTAGAGTGCACTAAGTTGAAAGCTAAGCAATTTAATAAAGATTGTGTGTTCAATGAAAAGAGCCTACTGACTGAGTATTCTTTCATACACATAAGGTTTTATTTTCTGAATTATCGCACATATTTAATTATATTTGTACCAAATTATTTCTGCATGGAAAGCTGTCGGGGATCGCCAAAATAATCGCTATAAGTATAGCCTATAAAATTGATACAGATATCAATAATAACAGTCATTATAAAATAAAATACGAAAAGAGGTCACAGATTCGAATCTCAGGATGGTTGAATTTTGTAATTATGATCCCATCACAATCACATACCTTCTTTAACACAATGACATTTAAGTTTTTTTGTGAACGTCAAGATAGCAGACCCACCGATGAATTTGAGGGTCTTATGTATGTCAACAATTGTAAGTAAAGATAGATCCGACTTCAAACTTTAAAAAGGTAAAAAAATATCACTTATTCAGCGACTCGTTCAAGAACATGCTATTAAAGTCGTGCCGAGGTTTTCTGTGGGTTATCTATTTTTAGTGATGCCACATTTCACTAAAAATATATATTTTACAATATACAATTTTTGGAACTATAAATCACAGATTTTATAATACTCTTGAACAACATAAACAGTTATAATATAAATCAGTCATAATTTAATTATGTAATATAAAGGGTATTTTTTCTTTAACGTACCAAAAATTGTTTTACATAAAAATTAATACTGCTTTCCATTAGCACCTCTTTACTCGATGGTGCTCGTTTAAAATTCATCGCAAGCATCCATGAATATTTAGTGTGAAGAAGTATTTTTTTAATTTTAAAGAATAGTACAGAAGAAACAATTGTAACGAGAATCACAATTGTTTTGTGTATTGATTAGCTTCAATTCCTACCCATTACACAATCAGAAATATCACGAATTCCATTGAAATGAGTGAAATAAAAGTTCGTGGTATAGAAGTCACCAATTAGACACAAATTTTTTACATGTAATTCAAGCTAATACGAATCATATTTCTAGTGTGCCAATTTCTCTTAATTTACAGTGACACTAATTATATGCTATGTGTCACAATTTCTTGACATACATAAGACCCTCAAACCCGTTGGTGTGCCTGCTACCTTGACGTTCACGTTTTTTTACTCCAACAATTAATAAAAAGACAAACAAAACATCAGATATTAATTTTATTTACTAATTGTCTAACCGTGCGCGACCGCACGCGCGCCATTTTCGTCAAATCATCGTCTCTATCTCAAAGGCGATCACCGAATTGACTCACCCGAGCTAAGTAATCGATAGATAATCAAATAACAATCGAATTGTAATCATTCGATTGTTCGGTACCGGTGGGTGGTCAGTAGATCGCAGGATAACTAAATGGGTAATAAATAAATTATACGTCACGTTCCGAATATTCCAAATAATTGTGATCCCGTTAATTAATTTTTAAAGAATGCTTCGATTTCTGCAGATTCAGGCACTAATTGTAAGAATGGGTAACTATGATAAATCAAAAATCGTTTGTTTTTTTAGAACACCGTTCATATATCATCAGCCTATTAGTGTCCCGCCTTGGCACAAACTTTCCATAAGGATGGAATGGAATCGAAACAAATAAATTGGCAAAAAATAATCTTCCCTCACCGCGAAAACTACCTACTAGGTCTAACATAAAAAAGTACTTTGGTTATTGTTCTATACCCATGAATTTTAAGAAAACGTATTTTCTGAGTAAGTACTATTTGTAAAAATGCGTCAACTTGCACACAATTGTATACTCATTTTTATTATTTGCCGTAATTGAAATAAATTGTAATGAAATTATTTATACTTAGATATATTATTGATGAAGTAGTTAATATAAACTACATATGGTTATTTTTTTTTAATAACAACATCAGTAAAAACTTTTTATATAGGTATAGTTCGCTCTATGCCATGAGAAATAAAAAAGGATGGATTAATATCATTCTTTCCGTCACTCTGTACGAAACTGACACTGACAACAATGATAGCAAGATAAATAATTGCACAAACAAAGCAAGAAACACAAATCCCTACCTTGATAAATTCTCTCATGATATAACTGTACGAAAAATGAGTGGTGTCTTTACAAAAATTTTAAGTCTCCCACTACATTTCCCGTTAGTTCGGGGCATGTTGTCTTATGCCGTTATATGGCCGACCTGCAGCATCGTCCAAGAGTATTTGGAAAAAGGCACGACATTGGAGAATGCCAATTGGGGACGGGCCGCACGATTTGGAGTTTTCGGCACATTCTTCATGGCCCCAGTCTTCTATGGCTGGCTGAAATACTCCAGTAGATTTTTCACAAGGAAAGACTTGATCACAGCCATGACCAGAGCTCTGATAGAACAAGTATCTTATTCTCCTTTAGCGATGGCATACTTCTTCTTCGGTATGAGTCTACTGGAAGGTAAACCTTACAAAGTTTGCGTCAATGAAGTCCGAGAAAAATTATGGCCTACGTACAAGGTAGGCGTTGTATTCTGGCCGACGGCTCAAACTCTGAACTTCTACTTTATTTCGGAAAGAAATAGAATTGTCTTCGTGAGCGCTGCGAGTTTCGTGTGGACAGTTTACTTGGCACATATGAAGGCGAAAGAGCAAAAGAACAAGAGCTTTTTATTTGAATCTCAATTGCAAGCAACTTCGATATCCAATAAGAACGTTGAAATAGATTCTAATAAGCTGATTCCTGTTGTTGTGGAGATCCAATCAGATTTGAAAGATCAGAAGCCGATAGACGTGGAAGGTGATGTTGAGGTTAGTGGTAATACGATGAAACCAGAATTAGTATCTGATGAACACAAGAAAAACAGCAGCGTACCTCATGTGATAGTGGAAACACGTTCTGAACCAACGATGGACAAAAAAGAACACATAAATACACCGGTCAAGAGTAGCTCTGATTCGGCTGTAGACAAGAAAACCGATTGAAAATCTAAAAAGTGCTAGTTTATATTTTTGCAAAAATGTTAGTATTCTAAAGATCTTATAAGTAAATGTTTTCGCAATTTCTTTTTTAATATATGTATTTAAAGGTATGACTAAAAGACGTCATCTAATCTATCTATCCAATATCACTTTTGGTTAATCAAACTTCATACGGCGCTGATAAGCAACAAGCAGTAACCTGCATAACCACCATTTTTCCAAGAAAATATCTTATTTCCGTATAAACTCACTTAGCGATAGTTTTTTTATTACCATGGATGTTTACAAGAATTATTTTTCGCAAAAGAAGTTTTTCTGCTCTGAAGAACAATTTTGGTTTTGCGGGTTACTACTTGTTTACTTTCCAGCATCTATGTAATAGTCCAGTGAAAGATACATAAATGTACAATAAGCTTGTTGTAAATTTATGAACCTTCACTCTTTGTTTTATTTGTAAATAAATACAAATAAAATAAGTATCTCGTTTTCACCTTATAAAAGTCCGTTACTGGACGCTATTCTTTGCTAAAATATGCTCTTTTGAACTGTTCACCAATGGTGGAAATAGAGTAATGTGAAAAAAGATAACTGATATCTGATAAGAGGAGCTCAATGGCGCGTTCGGTCTGAAGACCGTTTCTTCACCCGTTCGTCTTATCAGCTCAAAGACGTCCTGAACGAATTGTCGGTAAAAAAAAATGGAAAATTCAAAAGTACTTTTAATTAGTTTCATCATCATCATCAGCCCTTTTCTACGTTCCCACTGAATGGGCTTAGGCCTTCCTTGTGGATGGTTTAGGCCATAACCATTCACGCTGGCCCAACGCAGATTGGAGGGTATAAACCACTGCTAATGCAGCTGGGATAAACGGCTCAACGTGCCTTCCGAAGCTCGAAATATATTTTTTTGGTCACCCATCACCAACCCTTGCGAAAGTTGCTTAATAACGAAGCGGCGCTTAGCTAATAATATTAAGTTTATTCGAATAAAAATAATTTTGAGATTGAGATTGCCGGCTGCGTAAGTATGCGTGACCAAATTTTATTACCTCGAGCTTTGCAGACGTTAATCGACAGTCCACACTGGGGCCGCGTTATCTGTTATGGCCCACTCTCTTATTTGATTCCATCCATAGGAAAAGCCTGTGCCCTGGCAATGAGGTATCATTCAGCAGTCATCAGTTGATGATTGATAAGTATTGTTAGAAAGAGCCTCCTTTCATAATTAAGATTCCTTAATTATATAACTGTAAAGAATGACCAACATCTCGACCTATTGATCAAAGAGCCTGCAAGGTATCCGAAACATCTTTACATTTACGTAAAAAATATATACTAACAAGCACTTAACCTGTTCAAAATCATTCCATTCGATAAACTTATTTCTATTGATATTATAAGAAATTCTTTATAATATAAACTTATTGAATAACTTCGAGTGTGGTTAATAGTTCTTTTCGACATAAATCAAGAAGGGAAAAAGTCAATCGCCTCACGCATTCTTACAATTTCATATAAAAAAGTGGACAAACTCATAATAATTAATAATGGGAATGAATTTTTATGAGGAAATATCTTTAGTGGTGGTTATTTATCATGTTTTGTCAACGCGCGTCCAATGCTCGAACTTCATGGTGGATAACTTTTTAGAGGCACATTTCTTTTTTTATTATTTTAGTGTCGCAGTTATGATGGCAGTATTTCTTTTTAAAGTTATTATTACCATAGATATTTTAGATGCTACCTAATATAATATCGGACAGTTACAAAAGCTAGTAAAATGTTTGTCTTCTAGTTTAATATTTGTTTTTATGTGCAGCCTTAAACTTACATAATATAATAAAAAAAAGTCAGTGAAGTTCACATATGAAAAAATATGAATATGAAACTTCCTTTTACATTTTAAAGTCGGCTAAATACAACTAAATATTTTCTTCATTGAAACTATGATAATTATAGAATGGAAAACATTTTGGAGTAAATTCTATTTGATTTAAGTCGAGAACGAGAAAATACAATATAACTTCAAATAATTGTATGAAAAGGAAAAACTGATTTTGAACTTTCCTTATAAACAAAAAAGAAATTGGTAATTACAAAGTCTGTTTTCTAAAAGGCATATATATACATAGTTTTTTTCGTATTTATTTCACTCAATACATACTAAACTTAAATTACATTACAAACTGTATTACGACTTCCTGCCGTTAGTCGGCATCGTTATTACAAACGTGTTGGTGTGATGTTTCATTCGAACCAGTCCGAATTTCTGGGGACAAGAATCCGCCAGTGAAACTATACGATTAATTAGTCTGATAATATAGTTTGTATATCATTCGGCTACCGTCCGAATTTACCATCGGCGGCAAAAGAGCCGAAACAGGTATTTTTCACTTAACGATCGCGGCACCACCGGTGCTACCAAAAAATCAGTAAAAAATTCTTATACCTGACCCTTGGTAGGAAGTATACGGAGCTGTTAACCTCTAAAAAATGAAAACGTTATTTTTTATGAAATATTTTTACATCAATAAAATACATCGAATTGTATCGTTATGTAAGGAAATATTTTTTCTATTTACATTTATTAATAAATGTTTTTGAAATTTGTGTTAGTTAAAAACAAAATTTGCTAATAATTGTTTTCATTTTACATTTCCATGCACGCTTAATAAATAACTCTTTACGGATTTTATTAAGACTTTAAGACAAATATGCTCACCATTATTTTTAAATGATTTCAGTATTTAAATCACTACAAATAACTACAGACAAATTGTACAAAAATATTCAATTTTGGTAAAGCATTTTTTAACCATTTACGATAGTCTTAAATAAGAACATTCATATAAGTATCTAAATAGCTAGTGACTACAACTCTTTGATGATTACTTCCATCTCTTTTGAGCTGCCCTGTAAGTATATATTACGATTTTATATTATACATGAACACTTCGGTTGCGCGGTCGGTCTGCAATGAGAAAGTAAAACAACTTTTACAAGGGCCGATCTTAGGATGGTTAATCAAAGAATTATTATATCGATGTCCTCCTTGCTCCAGAAGGCATGAAAAGTTGTTAGTTTCACTGCATCTGCGATCTTGACCACCCACGTAATCGCACTGGGTCCGCGTGATGAGTAATGTTTAATTCTCTCAATTCGATTATATACATAAGAAAAGCTTGTGCCCTAGCAATCGGGACATTAATAGGCTGGTGATGATGAACGTGTTACACCTAAATTTTATTAAGTAAAATACAGCCAATTCAGCTATCCTTTATTTGTTTATTACAAACATTACAGAAGGTAATTTTTCTATTTTCGCCTAATTGCAGAGCATTAGTTTATTAGTGAGGATTAACCATCGTTTTCTTGTACACTTTTGTTCACCTACCGATACAAACATACACATAAATAGCAAAAAAATAGTTACTAGTTAAAATAATAAAATACATGTAAATAAATACTCCATATTGTAACCACTCTATAAATATCCGTATCAACTATTTCACGGCACTTCATAGGCCGCCGTAGTTTGTCGACAGATAAACGGACCAAGTTCACAAGGTATATAAAGTGACTTTTTTGTCCTTCACACAAATGTCTGACAAAGGACCTTTCCTCACCTGCCACGGCACATTATTTACGATTATTTGCCAACAAGAGAAAAAACTAAGGAACGAACTTTGGGTCACCGTAGTAATTGATTTAATTTTTGACTTCATAATAATTGCTGTGAAATATGGACTTTGATGGCAGTTCTTTCGTGTTGACGTTGACGTTGATACTATCTTTGCGACTTTATTGAGTTCTTTTTCATTATACTTTTTTTTTTGTTGTTCGATGTTAAATAGTGATATTGTTAGAGATAGTTGAGCTGCTCTATCTTTCTCACCAACGATAAAATAACAAAATATTTTCACATGACAGTGTCGTATTTGTATTTTTTAATTTATTTGTTATATTAAGTAAATTTATTTTATATGTGTGATATGTTATATTAAAAAAACATTTCGATACAATTAAGTTACTTTAATTAATCATGAATGGATTGTTTTTTTGGCTCACGTTAACAAAAAAACCCCAAACCTTAAGACTTTAAATTAGTCTACAAAAGATAAATATATTCTCTTTTTTGAATTCGCTTAAAATGAGCCTTTACTTTTTAATAATCATTCCCTGTGCACAAATTATGTAGGTATTATTTTAAGTTAACGATTGCATGGACCAATACTATATTGGTCCATGACGATGGTCAGGTAAAACAATTAAGTTTTGTTAATATTTTTAATGCATTTTTACGTTTAATAGCAGTACTTCAATAACTAAATATGTTTCTAATGAGGTAACATTAAAATTATTAATAATTTGTTAAGAATAAAGAATATTCTTATTATCTGACGCCGTTTTAAAGGTTTTAATAAAATCAGCGTTATTATTCACGGCAACATCAAAACCTTTTTTATTGCATACGTACTTTAAGCTCTTATAAAATCAGAAATAACCTCCCGAATATACCTAAATCGAGAAGGTTTTACGACCAATTTTAAGATTTAATAATTTTTGATTCAATTTCTTAATTGGTCTTTGTAAACATGTAGCAGTAAAAAGTAATATCTTTCTCTAAAGAGTTAATTTTCTTTCTTAAAGAGACTGATTCTCCGATGTTAAACATACATTATTTATAATATATAACATGTTTAGTTTTGGTTTGTTCATGCCAAATGCATAAAAGCACTTGAAATTAAATATTCGTATTCCCATCTCATAGTGCCAGGGACAAGGTGGATTTTTGAAGCGTTTTTCATTTGGAATATTTTCCAGTACAGCATTGTGAATGCAAATTGATCAAATATAATAATTAGAACATATTTTCATCTTTATCGAAAGTTTCAAATATTTGTAAAAGTATATCTTTCGGCTGTTTGGGTGGATTGCCTGAACATTGATGAAAATAAACTCTGCAGTAGCGAAAAAGTAACAAGAGCTTGAAAAATTCGTCA